GGGGATGGAGCCAGTAAAGGTGAGTGTAGGTAGGGAGTTAGGAAGGGGATAGGTCAGTCCAGGGAGGACGGACAGGTCAAGGGGGCGGGATGAGGTTGGTCGGTAGGAGATGGAGGTGCGGCTTGAGGTGGGAGGAGGGGATAGGTGGGAGGAAGAACAGGTTAGGGAGGCAGGGACGAGCTGGACTGGTTTTGGGATGCGGTAGGGGGAGGGGAGATTTTGAAACTTGTGAAATCCACATTGATACCATTGGGCTGCAGGGTTCCCAAGCGGAATATGAGTTGCTGTTCCTGCAACCTTCGGGTGGCATCGTTGTGGCACTGCAGGAGGCCCAGGATGGACATGTCGTCTGAGGAATGGGAGGGGGAGTTGAAATGGTTCGCGACTGGGAGGTGCAGTTGTTTGTTGCGAACCGAGCGTAAGTGTTCTGCAAAGCGGTCCCCGAGTCTCCGCTTGGTTTCCCCGATGTAGAGGAAGCCACACCGGGTACAGCGGATGCAGTATACCACATTGGCAGATGTGCAGGTGAACATCTGCTTGATGTGGAAAGTCTTCTTGGGGCCTGGGATGGGGGTGAGGGAGGAGGTATGGGGGCAGGTGTAGCACTTCCTGCGGTTGCAGGGAAAAGTGCCGGGTGTGGTGGAGCTGGAGGGGAGTGTGGAGTGGACAAGGGAGTCACGGAGAGAGTGGTCCCTCCAGAAAGCAGATAAGGGTGGAGAGGGAAAGATGTCTTTGGTGGTGGAGTCAGATTGCAGATGGCGGAAGTGTCGGAGGATGATGCGTTGGATCCGGAGGTTGGTGGGGTGGTACATGAGGACGAGGGGGATTCTTTTTTGGTTCTTATTGCGTGGACGGGGTGTGAGGGATGATGTCGTGGGAGCACGAGGCGGCGCTGATACAGTCATCAATGTAACGGAGGAAGAGGTGGGGTTTAAGGCCGGTGTAGGTACGGAAGAGGGATTGTTCCATGTAACCTACAAAGAGGCAGGCGTAGCTTGGGCTCATAAGGGTACCCATGGCTGCTCCCTTTGTCTGTAGGAAGTGGGAGGAATTGAAAGAGAAGTTGTTGAGGGTGAGGACGAGTTCGGCTAAGCGGATGAGGGTGTCAGTGGAGGGGGACTGGTCGGGCCTGCGGGACAGGAAGAAGCGGAGGGCCTTAAGGCCATCTGCATGGGGAATGCAAGTGTAGAGGGACTGGACGTCCATGGTAAAGATGAGGTGTTGGGGACCAGGGAATTGGAAGTTCTGGAGGAGGTGGAGGGCGTGGGTGGTGTCACGGACATAGGTAGGGAGTTCCTGGACCAAGGGGGAGAAAATGGAGTCCAGATAGTTGGAGATCAGTTCGGTGGGGCAGGAGCAGGCGGAGACAATGGGTCGACCAGGGCATTCAGGTTTGTGGATTTTGGGAAGGAGATAGAAGAGGGCAGTGCGAGGTTGGGGAATGATGAGGTTGGAGGCCGTGGGTGGGAGGTCACCTGAGGTGATGAGGTTGTGGATGGTTTGGGAAATGATGGTCTGGTGCTCAGGGGTGGGGTCATGATCAAGGGGGCGGTAGGAGGAGGTGTCGGAGAGTTGGCGTCTGGCCTCGGCGATGTAGAGGTCAGTGCGCCATACTACAACTGCGCCTCCCTTGTCCGCGGGTTTTATGGTGAGGTTGGGATTGGAGCGGAGGGCTGCACGTTCTGCGGGGGAGAGGTTGGAGTGGGTGAGAGGGGTGGAGAGGTTGAGGCGATTGATGTCTCGACGGCAGTTGGAGATGAAGAGGTCGAGGGAGGGTAGGAGGCCTTGGGGTGGTGTCCAGGAGGAAGGGGTGTGTTGGAAGCAGGAGAAGGGGTCAGTAGAGGGAGGGTTAGGTTCACAGTTGAAGAAGTAAGCGTGGAGGCGGAGGCGGCAGAAAAACTGCTCTATGTCCAAGCGTGAGCGGTATTCGTTGATCTGTGGGTGGAGGGGGACAAAGGTGAGCCCTTTACTGAGGACTGACCATTCATCCTCAGTAAGGGGTAGGCCTGGGGGGATGGTGAAGACTCGGCAGGGCTGGGTGCTGCTGTCTCCTCTGGAGCTGCTGGCTGTGGAGGCAGTGGGCGGAGCGACGTCGACGTCGGCGTTGGCTGTGGGCGGAGTTGCGTTGGCGTCGGCTGTGGGCGGAGTTGCGCCAGCGTCAGCGGTGGGCGGAGTTGCGTCCGCGTCGGCGGTAGGAGGAGCGGGGTAGGCGGCGGCAGTAGCGGTGAGGGTGGTTGCGACTTCAGTGTCGGTGGCAATGGCAGCGATGGTGTTTGCTGTCCCGGAAGTGGGGAACCCGACGGTGGCGGATGTGACGTCATCTGTGGGTTCTCCGATAGTGGCCTCATGGCCAATGGTGGCGGACGCATTGTGGGGAAGGTCCTAGGTACGGCTGGGGATTTGGGGGGTGGAGGAAGCCCGTTTTGGGTGGTAGGCACCAGTAAGTTTACTGTACTTACAGTTTTTAGTGTCCAATAAAGCTGAGTAGAATTGTGAGTTCAGGTTGTGGATCCTACGAAGAATGAAAAACAGGAGAGGTCCTTTGCAGGTCTGGGAGAGGGAGGCTCTGAGCTGGGGTAGGCTTGATTGTAGTGCCTGGAGATGCCGGCGCATTGCTGCAAGTGTGTGTTTCAGGAGTCGCAGGGAGAAACGCTTCTGAAGGATCTCAATGCCATGAGTGTAGATATTGTCACGGTTGGGGCCAAATTGGGAAGGCTTGAATGTGGATTGTAGTCCATTGGGGATGATCTGGTTCCGTAGGCAGGTGCTAAGGAAGGTGATGTCGCTGTAGTACCTGGTTTGCTTCAGGACATGGTCGAGCAGTTCACGGTCTGACCTGGAAGTTAATTGCAGCTCGATTCTTCTTAGAAGTGCTCTATATACGCATCGACTCCTCAGGCAGTCTGTTCAAGCAGATAGCAGATGTTGAATTTAACTGGAACATTGTGGGGAGACAGTCAGGGAGGCCAGAGTTTCCATTTGTTTGGAACAGTGTTTTTGTCAGAAGGGTTATGGCTACCCATAGCTACAGGACAGAGATTTGATTGCTCCCTGGTTGGCGTCTCATTATCAACTTATTGAAAGTTTGGAAGAATGAAATATTCCTCAGACCTACTGGAAGCTCTGTGCATTGGCCATTGTCTTCAGAAACCAAGCGAGATACAATTCCATGAACCTGTGATATTACGGATCATAGAATCTGCTTAAGTGTAATGGCCAGTTACATCTTTTTTTCCCTTATGATTTATCCCTTAACTGCGTCTATTCATCTCTCTGCCTTTGTGAGAGAGTGGGGGGTGAGAAATAAGGAGGATTGGGTTTAAATCATAGACATTAATTAGATTACCTGTTGTTTATGCTCTGCTGAAACTGCTGTATTATTAATAAATTGTTAAGTCTTTTGTTTCAGCTATAAACCTAGTGTCTAGTATTGGCTATTCATAAAGTCTGGGCTGTTTTTTTTAAAAAGTCTGGAGAGGAACCATTGATGTCAATTTTGAAGATCATTAAGTATTTTAATTTTTCTGTGTTGCAAATACAGAATCTGATTTGGTTTGGCTGTCTGGTCTCCATGTTATAACAGTGTATGTGAGAGTCTGTGGGTATGTAAGTGAGTGTGCCATTGCCCCTTGAAACAGGGATGATACTTGCTCATGTTAAGTACCTGCAAGTGGGGTAATGTGGGGTAAGGTAGTTACTCTGCAACGCAGTTTTGGTTGACTAGGAGACTCTCCCACTCTACCTGTCTGCCATAGGTGCATTGGAAAGATTTACAGCTTGATAATCAACATGTTTGTCAATGTCATAATGTATGTTCCGTGGTCAGCAAATCTTGACAGGGCCTCTGAACCTGGAGCTTCTGTCCCACAAGTAGATTCACTGTCACAAGACCTCCATAACTGCAATTACCGACACACTACTCCCTGTAAATCTTCACATTCTAAATAACTTTGGAAGGCAAACACCTGAAGAATCAAAACAAGAAGAAATCAAACAGAAATTAAGGTGTATGAAGTTGATGATATAATAATCTTGGTGGTGTCTTTCTCTTTGCTACTTCCGTGTTCAGCTGTGACAGCTTCAGAGGGTGAGAGCTGGTCAGTTCCAGAATGGGGGTACTAAGGCTACATCAGCATTACACTCAATACCATGATCAGTATTGGATTATCATTGTCAATGGACATTGATGAGGTACGCACTAACACCCTCACTAATACTGACTAGTACTGATGTAGCATCTGGCACCAAAATGGTGCTCTTACATTTCAAATTCATTTCCATTGCCAAACAGTGAAAATAGGCACCACTGGACCTAATTCTGATCTCTCCCAGCTCTGATCCACAACAGTGGCCCTGATCTGTGCCCAGACAGCAATGTCCACATCCTACAACTGAATTAAAACAAGCTGGGTCAGTAAGTTACCTGTCAGAATACTCGAGCTGGCTTGACTGGCAAACTTGCATTCCTCATCTCGATTGTCAGAGATCAGATCCTTGGTGTTTTGGATAAACTTTTGTAAGGCACAGTGCTCAGAGCAGGATGGCAGAGCAAGCAAATGAGGCTCAATACTAGTGTCATTCCTGAAGTACATGTCCAATGTGAATGACCTGCAGAAAGTACACACACATAGAGAGAGAGAGAAATTTCTGGTCAGCGTGGCTCAGATGGAACTGAAGGAAAAGACAACAGTACATAAATCTAACAAGTGACAGTAGTTAGGCTGCCTAACACACTGACAAGCTCACTAGCTGCTGGAGAATCTGCAGCAGAAATGCTCACCCATTGGATAGTCAGAAAAACAGGAATTCATGGTTCTTCCAGCTGTACCTCTGGACTCTTCTCCAGTCCCGTCATATACTGAAATATGGACACAACACCAATGCCTACAATATCTCCAGGTCTAATCACTCCATGTTGTTTCCAAGTTCTGGGTTTAAGTCCCTGAACCTCCCTATCAATTTTCTCTTTCTTTGCCTAAGACTTTGGTTGTTGGGTATCAAATTACCTTAAATGCTTAACTGTCAAATTGTATTTTACAATGTCATTCTGAGCGAGCACCGCACCATCGGAGGTGGGGAGGTCCATGCTGAGGGAGCACCACACCATTGGCAGAGATCAGTGTGGGGGGTGCAGGGGGTCAGTACTGACAGACCACTACACCATCGGGGGGGTGGTCAGTGCTAAGGGAGCGCTACACCGTTGGGAGAGGTCAGTGCTGAGAGAGCCCTACACTGTCGGGGGGAGTCAGTGCTGAGGGAGCGCTTCACCGCATCATAGCCACATGGAGGGATAATGGGTGAGTAGTAGCAGAAGTGTGACTGATGAGTGGTAGTGAGAGGTGCCAAAGTGCCTATAGGGCAGCATAAAGTCTCTGACTGGTGCAGGCATACAATTATGGGAGTCCTGGAAGGACATTGCCCAGGGGTTGGAAAACCACAAGGTGTGGAAGTACCTCTTTGTGTTGCAGAGACCAGTCAGGTTCAGACAGAATAGGCAACAGGAACACTGCTAACAGAACTTTGCTACTCGCCAGTTAGAAGTCAGGAGTTATTAATTGTTGCTGGTGGACCTGGAGTGAATGGTCATTGTAAATAGTTTGTTTCTCCGAGTTAAGCTTTGTCACAGATAGTTAGACAGTGTTAACGCCAGTGGACCTTGTTATAATCAGTAAGGGACAGCCAGCAGTGAGTGTTTCAGAATCTCCACAGAACTCACCCATCATTCTCCTGGTACAGCTCAAACATGTAACAGGAAGCATAGGGAGGAGTGATGCCAGAGTACACATTCAATGCCATCTGAAGTGCTATAAGTGTTGTATCATGCTGTGGAAAGAATACATTTTTTAAAACGGTTAAAAATTGTTTTCCGAATCCCTTTCTCCCCTGGAACTGAGTCAGGCTGCAGTACAACTACAAGTCCTCCTTTTTCAACCATGTGCCTAAGGTTGACAGACAGCCAATGGATGGACTTGGAGCCTCCCATATACACATACCCTTTCCAAACCAAAATCAAACTGCAGGGACATAGGCCCTGTCTCAATCCCTGTTGGACCCAGCATGTAGAACTAACCCCAGAGAGGTGATGGTCCAGTGGTATTACTATTAATCCAGATACCCATGTAATTTGGGTCCTGCCATGGCAGATGGAATGAGTACTCAGTATCTAGAATTTAAAAAACCATGAAAACCACATCTGGTTCTCTAATGTTCTTCAGGAAAGGAAGTTGCATCCTTACCTAGTCTGGCATGTGATTCCAGAGCCACAGCAATATTGTTGGCTCTGAACTGCTCTCTGAAATCACCTAGTAGGCACTCGTTGCATCAATCACTATGAAGTTTCAACAAAGAAGTGAAACTGGATAAACTGGCATTGACCCAGGCACTGGAAACAACAACAGCAGAAACAGCGCTGTCGACCCTGCAAAGTCCTCCTTACTAACATCTGGGGGCTACTGCCAAAATTGGGACAGCTGTCTCACAGATTAGTGAAGCAACAGCCTGACCACAATCACATTCACAGAATCATACTTGACAACGACCCAGACACCACCATCACCATCCCTGGATACATCCCGTCCAAGACAGACCCAGCAGAGGTAGTGGCACAGTGGTATACAGTCGGGAGAGTGTTGATTTCTGGATCCCATGAAATCTTGTGGTCTCAGACTAAACATAGGCAAGGAAACCTCCTGCTGATCAGCATGTACCATTTTCCCTTAGCTGATGAATCAGTACTCCTCTGTGCTGAACAACACTTTGAGGAAGCACTGAGGGTAGCAAGGGCACAAAACATTCTCTGGGCGGGGGATTTTAATGGTCACTACCGAGAGTTGCTTGGCAGTGCCACTACTGATCAACCTGGTTGGGTCCTAAAGGATGTACTGTTAGACTGGGTTTGTGGTAGGTGGTGGGGAACCAACAAGAGGGAGAACTGTACTTGACCTCATCCTTACCAATCTGCCTACTACAGATGTATCTGTCCATGACAGTATTGGTAAGAGTGACCACTGCATAGTCCTTGCGGAGACAAAGTTGTGCCTTCACATTTAGGATACCCTCCATCATGGTGTGTGGCACTATCACCTTTGAACAGATATAGCAACTCAAGACTTTGCATTCATGACCATCAACAGCAGCAGAATCGTACTCCAATATAATCTGCAGTCTCATGGCCCGGCATATTCCCCACTGTACCATTACCATCAAGACAGGGATCAACCCTGGTTCAATGGAGAGTGCAGGAGGGCATGTCAGGAGCAGCACTAGACATACCTAAAAATAGAGTATCAACCTGGTGAAGCTACCAAACAAGACTACTTGAATGTCAAACAGCATAAGCAGCAAGTGATAGGAGCCAAGCAATCCCACAACAAACGGATCAGATCTAAGCTCTGCAGTCCTACCACATCCAGTCATTGAATGGTGGTGGACAATTAAACAACTCACTGGAGGAGGAGGCTCCACAGATATTCTCATCATCAATGAAACCAGCCAACTCAACTGTAAACAAGTACTTAGGACAAAAGGGATCAAAGGATATGGGCAGACAGCGGGGCTGGGATTCTCCATTGGATGATCAGCCATGATCATATTGAATATAGAGCAGGCTCAAAGGGCCTGTTCCTGCTCCAATATTCTATATCAAACCAGTCCAAAAGATAAGGCTGAAGCATTTGGAACAAGCTTCAGTCAGAAGTGCCAAGTAGATGATCCATCTTGGCCTCCTCCACAGATCTCCAGTATCCATTCTTCAGCAATTTCAATTAACTACATTTGATATCGAGAAACAGGTGGAGACACTGGATACTGCAAAGGCTATTGGCACTGACAATATTTGAGCAATAGCCCTCAAGACTCCACAACTTGCCTCTCCTCTAGCCAAGCTCTTCCATTTCAGCTACAACACTGGCATCTAGCCAACAATGTCGAAAATTGTCCACATCTGTCCTGTACATAAAAGACAGAACAAATTCAACCCAGCCAATTACCGCCTTTGATCATCAGTAAAGTGATGGAAGGTGTCACCAACAGTGCAACAAGCAGTACGCCCTCTACTATAACCTTCTCAGTGACGCCCAGTTTGAGTTCCACCAGGGACACTCAGCTCCTGATCTCACTACAGCTTAAGTTCAAAACAGCTGAACTCCAGAGGTGACGTGAGAGTGACAGCCCTTGACATGACAACTGCATTCAACTGAGTGTGGTATCATGGAGCCCTAGCAGAACTGGAATCAAAACTCTCCGCTGGTCGGAGTCACACCTGGCACAAGGGAAGACAGTTATGGTTATTGGAGGTCAGTCATCTCAGCTGCAGGATATCTCTGCAGGAGTTCCTCAAAGGTGGTGATGTAGGCCCAACCATCCTCAGCTGCCTCTTCAATGACCTTCCCTCCATCATAATATCAGAAGTGGGGATGTTCGTTGACGTTTGCACAATGTTCAGCACCATTTGTGACTTATTAGATACTGAAGCAGTCCATGTCTAAATGCAGCAACACCTGGACAATATCCAAGCTTGAGCTGACAAGTAGCGAGTAACATTCATGACGCACAAATGCCAGGCAATGGCCATTTCCAATGAGAGACAATCTAACAATCACCCCTTGACATTCAACAGTGTTACCATCACTGAATCCCCTACTATCAACATCCTGGGGAATACCATTGACCAAAAGTTGAACTGAATTCATCATATAAATACAATGTCTACAAGATCAGGTCAGAGGCTAGAAGTACTGCAGCTAGTAACTCTCCCCCTGACACTCCAAAGCCTGACCACCATCTACAAGGCATAAATCAGAAATGTGATAGAATGCTCTCCACATTCCTGGATGAGTGCAGCTCCAACAACACTGAAGAAGTTTGACACCATCCAGGACAAAGCAACCCACTTGGCTGGCACCACATTCACAAACATCTACTCTCTCCACCACCGACGTTCAGTAGTAGCAGTCTGTACTATTTACAAGATGCACTGTCGCTGGGTCAAATTCCTTGAAATCCCTCCCTCACAGCATTACGGTCAACCTACAGCACATGAACTGCAGCAGTTCGAACAGGCAGATCACCATCACCTTCTTAATGGCAGTTAGGGATAAGCAATAAATGCTGGCCCATCGAGTGGCACCCATGTTCCATGAGTAAACAAAAAATCAGTACTTCGCAGCATAGTATATTAAATGAAAAATTATGCATTTGTTGAGCATTTTACTCCACCATGGATGGCACTGAATAGTTCAGAATAAAGGAGCATTTTACATCCATTTCAGAAGGCAAATGAAGCACTTATGTAACACACCATCTGACGGTGCAGCATTCCCTCAGCACTGACCGTCCATAAGTGCGGCACTCCCTTACACTGATCCCAAAGCCAGGGAACTATAGACCACTGAGCCTGACATCCGTGGTTGGTAAGTTGTTGGAGGGGATTCTGAAGGATAAAATTTACATGTATTTGGAAAGGCAAGGACCGATAGGGATAGTCAATATGGCTCAATGTGCGGGAAATCGTGTCTCACTAACTTAATTGACTTTTTTGAGGAAATTATGAAGAAGATTGATGAAGGCACACCAGTGGACATGTTCTATATGGACTTCAGTAAGATGTTTGACAAGGTTCTGCATGATAAATTGGTTAGCAAAGTTAGATCACATGTAATACAAGGAGAACTGGCCATTTGGATACCTCACTGTCTCAAAGGTAGGAGAGATCAGGTTGGTGGTGGAGAGTTGCTTTTCAGACTGCAAACTCTGACCAGCAATATGCCGTAAGGATTGGTGCTGAATCCACTGCTTTTTGTCATTTATATCAATGGATGTGAATATAGGAGGTGTGGTTAGTAAGTTTGCAGATGACACCAAAATTCATGGTGTAGTGCACAGCGAAGAAGGTTACCTCAGCGTACAATGGGACCTTGATCAGATGGGCCGAGGAGTTGCAGATGGAGTTTAATTTAGATAAATGTGAGGTGCTGCAATTTGGAAAGGCAAATCAGGGCAGGATTTATACACTTAATGGTAAGGTCCTGGGGAGTGTTGCCAAACAAAGAAACCTTGGAGTGCAAGTTCTTAGTTCCTTGAAAGTGGAGTCACGGGTAGACAGAATAGTGAAGGAGATGCTTGCCTTTATTGATCAGTGCACTGAGTAGAAGAGTTGGGACGTCATGTTGTGGCTCTGCAGGACATTGGTTAGGCCGCTTTTGGATTAGTGTGTTCAGTTCTGATCTCCCTGCTATAAGAAAGATGTGAAATGTGAATGGGTTCGGAAAAGATTTACAAGGATTTTGCCAGGGTTGGAGGGTTTGACCTATAGGGAGAGGCTGTTATAGGGTGGGACTATATTCCCTGAGCGTCAGAGGCAAATTGGACTAGATTTAATTTGGATATCTGGTTGGCATGGACAACTTGGACCGAAGGCTCTATTTCCATGCTGCACATCTCTATGAATCTGACAGTGCAGTGCTACAACAGCACTGACCCCATGATGTGCAACCCTTCCTCATTTAATAGAGGTATTTAATATGCAACTGATATGTTTAATATGGAGCTTAGGACATGTTTGATAATGCCAATCACAGTGCATTCATACCCTTAACGGTGTGTTTAATGCTGCCAACTGGGCTGAGTTTAATAACAACATGAGACATATTTAATACTATTGATCATAGTGTCTAATACCATTGAGTGGTTTTCAATGGCATTGATTATTGTAATTGTAATATAGTATAACACAGTCTGTTTAATACTGCCAACTGCAATAGGTATAGAAGAGGCACTATGGAGAAGAATTGCTATGGAGGAGAACAATGCAAACTAACTAGGAA